CCCGGCCCACTGGTAGTATTTTTAATTCTTGTCTTCTGCTCTGTTACTGTGTATATAGTATGAGAATTAAAAGCTTGTGCTGTTTTGAAATAACAGTGTTGCAGACTCTGCTGTAGTGGTATGACAACAGGTGTAAAGTGCAGGCCAGGATTAGTTGTCGAAGTCACAATGGAATAGTCTTCAACCTGGTACAGAGGTACTGGTTTCTAGGGCTTACCTCTAATCAACACAGTAGTTTGGTGTAGATTAAGGATATTTACTTGCCTTTCAGATCCCAAGATGGAATCTGTAAATAATTTCTATGTCTTCTTATAATGTGGCATCCATATTTTTTGGAAAAAACAAAAAACTGTGATTTGCCAATAGGGTATTAGTCTTCATTCTTGAATGCCATTTTATATTAAATACAGAGTAATTTTCTTTTTTTACTTTATTCATTGACTCAAAGTCACTTTAGTTGTCTTTTTTTTTTTAAGAAAAGAAACCATTGTAACCATTTTTAAGTGTATAATTCAGTGGCATTTATACTCTTTGTTTTTAAACATTTAGAGACTACAGCCCAGAAGGTACAAACCAGCCAGCTTGCAAAAAACACTGATGTTTTCCTTTTGCTTGTTTGTATGTGTACCCTCTGTTGCCATACAACTTGTTCAGCTCTAGAAAGCTGACAGATGCTAAAAGGGAAAAGTAAGTTAAATCCCATAATCAGGATTTATTTGTTTTAGGATCACATTAGCCTTTTCCAGAGATAGCTGAAGTACCTAGATAGCTAGCATAATATTTCACTGTTTTGTATGCAAATTGAAATTGTACTTGTAGTATATTTGAAAAGTGCTATTTCATAAGAAGCCTGTAAAACCCTAAGCTTCTCTCCCTTATTATTTGAGAAATTATTTTAAGACCTATAGCCCCCACATTTTGATGTGATTAGATTTATCAACATTGTCTGGGTAATGGTCCTGTTCTACTTAGGGTGGTTTTTCTGCTTATGGTCTGTGCTACTTCTTAATATCCAGTATTAAGAATTTTGGTTAACTCTGAACTGCCTTGGTAGATGGGTTGATTAGAGTGATTCCGGACAGATCATGCTTTGAACTTCCATTTTTATTTTCCCATTTTGATGGGCTGAAAAACATTTAAAATGTATCCCGGGCTGGGCGCGGTGACTCATGCCTGTAATCTCAACACTTTGGGAGGCTGAGGTGGGTAGATCACCTAAGGTCGGGAGTTCAAGACCAAGCCGGCCAACATGGTGAAACCCCATCTCTACTAAAAATACAATAAATTAGCTGGACATGGTGGCATCTGCCTGTAATCCCAGCTACTTGGAAGGCTGAGACATGATAATCGCTTGAACCCAGGAGGTAGAGGTTACAGTGAGTCAAGATCACGCCACTGCACTCCAGCCTGGGTGACAGAGCAAGACTCCATCTCAAAATAATAATAACAATAATAAAATGTACTCTGTTTGCCAGTTCTGGAAGACTTTATGATTTTGGTATCCTTTCCACTTGTGTGTGCTCTTTGTGATAACACAGATTGTCACTTGCTGATTATGCATATGCAGAGAAAGAAATTTAATTTAGTTTTCCTTTAGTGTTCTCTTTTAGGTAATGGAAATAGATGGGTCTGCCAATTTTGTAGATATGACTCACCAGGAAGAGATGCATTAAGTAAGAAGAAAAATAAATATATGTAGTCAGTTTCCTAACTTTAGTAATGCTAAATGTCACACTGATGGCATGAGTTATCCTTCAGGTGTTAAAGTAATTTTGCTGATTCATAGCCTGTGACTTCACGTTCTAGATGTTGCCAGGGATTTTTGAAGAACTAAGAGAGAGAGGGAGAGAGGGAGAGAGAGAGAGAGAGAGAGTGTGTGTGTGTGTGTGTTTTGAAAAACTAGCTGAGTGTGTGTGCGTGCGTGTGTGTGTGTGTGTGTGTGTGTGTATGTGTGTATGTATGTGTGTGTGTGTTTTAAGAGGTGGGGTCTTACTGCGTTGCGCAGGCTGGACTTGGACTCCTGAGCTTAAGTGATCCTCCTACCTCAGGCTCCCTGTAGCTGGGATTACGGGCAGGTGCACTGTGCCTGCTAGAAGTATGTATTGAGTGTTTCATACACAGCACTCTGCTAGAAATAGGGGCAGGAAGTAAATGTCATAGTTGCCTTGCCTGAAAGGAACTTAAAATTTAGTTGTGGAGCAAGTGCAAACACATAATAGAACAAATAAGAAAACCAAGAAGACTGGGTGCAGTAGCTCACGCCTGTAATCCCAGCACTTTGGGAGACTGAGGGGGGTGGATCACCTGAAGTCAGGAGTTCCAGACCAGCCTGGCCAGCATGGTGAAACCCTGTCTCTACTAAAAAATACAAAAAATTAGCTGAGTGTGGTGATGGGCACCTGTAATCCCAGCTATTCAGGAGGCTGAGGCAGGAGGATTGCTTGAACCCAGGAGGCAGAGGTT